GATGCTGGATACTTCGCGTTCATCTAGAGCAAATGAACGGCTTGTTCTTACATTTCCAGTATCGAGATATAACACGCGGTAATTTTTGCTATGTTCCATGTACCCCAGCAACATGCAGCGAAATGATGTCGCGTTGAGATTTGTTCGTTGAGACTTGTCAATATGTGCGTGCCCCCGAGAACCCAAGACACGAAAATGATCGAGGTCTGGACAGGAACCAAAACGAATCTCGTATGGTGTAATATCAGTGTTCACGGTGCTGGTCATCCGAATCAAAAGGTACACAGAAGTATTGACTGCATCAGCCCACCATCAAGTTTCGATAGTCTTGTACAGCATCATGCTTCTTGCCATCTCCATCACGGTTTGGTTCGTTCGTTTTGCAAACCCATTTTGTTGAGAGCTATAGTGCAGAGCGTTGATGGATGGTGCAGAGCGTTGGTGGATGATTTCACCATCAACACAAATCTGGCCAAACTTCTTGTTGACGAATCGGTCCCATTGTCTGACCGAACGATTCGATTCGAGCACCTAGTTGCCCTTCCATCTTCGCTTTGTACTCACAAAAACGATTTCTCATTTCCGTCTTACTCTCCAAGAAGTATTCACATATGCAACGCGAATAGTTATCTGTGAAGAGCAGCACATACTTTGCTCCAACGGTAGACGTTACTTTCCCATGAAATCTGTGTGCACCAGTTGTAGAAATCGAATGGCTTTTATCATACCACGGTTTGTTTGCTTTGGATATGGTGTGACAGTATTATTCCCGAGCATGCATCCACCACATAGATCTTGATCACGCTGGAGTCCGTCAGGGATACTATCACTCGCATCAACTACACGTTTCATATTGTCATGATGCGTGCGTCCTAATCTCGCATGCCATAACCTCCAATCACCTGGCCTTTATCGATGGTCAATCACGCTTACAGTCTGTGCTTGATACTTCACACGATACACATTGTTTGCTTGTAGTATGGTCGCTATCAATCCTTCTCCTCGAGAAATGGTACACTCTTTCATACCAAAACTCACCGCAAGCCCCTTGAGTAAGTTTTGCAACTGAGAGTAGCCGACGATCTAACCCAGAAATGTGGAGAGCGTTTATTATCTTCACTATGCGACGTTGAGAGCATTGCTTGTGAATATCACCCATACCAATCGCATGGATTGATTCACCATCAGCAATTGTAACACCAATGCTCTCTTTCAATTCTCTGTAAGTATGGAAATCCTTTCGCTCAGGGCTCATGTGCGACGATGCACCACTATCAAGCAACCAATCTGATTTTTATCCATATTTGCCATAAACGGTACCTCATTACTGCGTGCAATTGATGGACAGTCCACCTTTTATAAACAATCTTGTTGTAGCCATGGCAACGCCCGGCGAAACATCGAGCTGATAGTGGTTGTCCACGTTTACCTTGTCTCATGTCTTGTCGAATATGCTGATCTTGGCGACCACGGCCACCTCGTATATTCCTTCGACCACCATGATTACGCAATCGCACCTTAAATTCGCTTTCTTCCGATTTTTCTGCATTTTCGATCTTTTCGTGCTCTTTCAAGAGCTTTTCCTTCACTTCGTCAAGTAAAATTTCCTTTAATTTTTCTAATTGTGAAAATAATCATCGCATAACTGCTCGGCAAACTAACGAGCAAGATCACAAGCTGCCTATCAGTGCTCATACCATCCCCGACACCCTTCATCGCAACTATCAATTCGTTGAGATTATTGAGGTGAGAAGCCATGCTTTCTCCAGCTTCCATCGTGAACTTATGCAAACGTCTTGTCAAAGCCACTCAATTGTGAATATTTTAACGCTAACTAAGAATCTCCCATGCTTCACGAGCATTACGGGCAGAACGATTTTTTGACTGGCGTCCTAACTGGATCCCTTGTGCAATAATGGCGAATTCTTTCGTGTCACTCGCACGCCATTCCAGCGTCGTATGAGCTTCCGACTTCATTTCCATCACGTGATCCCGTAACATCTTCCGTGCAAGCTTCATTTCCATGGTGAACGACCAATGAAAATAGTTATCATTGCCAAGTAAGTCTGTTGGTTTCTGCATCTTGACCTCAAAATTGTGCCGTGGGCTCAGAACCTGACACTTTAGTGCAGGTGTGGGTTCAAGTAGAGAATTAAAAGTGAATATATTAAACTATTAGATCCTGGTTCATCAACCCAATTACATCCAGTCTAAAAGGTAAATACATATGCTTGCAGTTGATGTTGCAACATCAGCATCAACATGAACTGCAACTGCAATAACAACCACCACCATGCGGTTGTCACCCTAGTGTCTAGCGGGTTAGGTAACAGTCTTAACATTATCTTGCGGGACGTCTGTCGGTCAACCCGAAAGGGAAACTCAACCCTATGTTCCTATCAACCGAGAAAGACGAAGCAGGCAGGGCATAGACGGTTGGTGTTATCACGAGTGCACCACCTGCTTGGATTACAAAGCGGCTAAGTAGCCAACAGATCACATATTTATCTTTAATCTGGCTGCGATCTTTTGCTTTTGGCGCGTTCATGAAGCCACAACGTTAGCCGATTCAAGTGACAGCTGCGAAGCTCGGGATGTGTTTTGCATTCAGTCGACCCTCACCGCTTCGTTAAAACAGGTTGTATGGGCACAAAAGATCAAGGTGTAAGCCGCTCGTGAATGGAGTACTTATCATGTAATCAAACCCGTCACCGTTTCCATTGGAGAGTCAGCTACTCAACACTTAAATATCATTCAGCAACATTTTCTTTTCTTGAGGTGCCAAAAAGAACTTCGACCGCATGCGACTAGCCTGATTACCGCGATTGCTCGCGATATAGTTGTTGCCATACCTCGATTACGCAGGTACCGTCGTAGTGCCCGTTCTGGTGCGCGATCTCCATGTAAAGGGCGATAATTGCGATGCGCTGTTGATACGTCCGGAGAAAGTTGAGATTATGGGCACTTTGTCCACTGCTTCCCAAAAGAAAACAGTTTCCAAGGCCCAGAAACAGTTACCGCTCGTTAGCCAGCTGTCATACAGTGCTGGAGAGCCACTTCAAGGATCGTCTCACTCAGACGTCAGTGGAAGCACCACCGACTCTCGTAGAAGTATATAGAATACCAAGCCCTCCGATTATATTTCCATGAGCGACAACAACACCGATTCTTATGCTAGCGAACCTTGTCGTGGCGACGGATACTAAAAAATTCATATTCCGTCTTCCATTCTTAATCAGACTTGGTGGTCGGAAATATGACTAATGCTGTCAAGTGCAACGGGGCCGCAGTGCACCTGACACAGAGAATATTCTGGCTCTGAGAGTCCGCGTTGATCAGCGCACAGAAGATGGGACGCTAGGGCGCGATTTTAGATCATCATATGAACTTGCTATCGCCACTTGCTCATATCAAATAATACTGTAACTTGAATTCATGCTGTCCCTATACATGTATCTGTTCTGATGTGAGCCATCAAAGATTTAACGGTGGGTGTATGTGTGATGAGAGAAGCATCGAGAGGTACGCAGTTTATACCCATAAAATCGGAAATGTATTTATGAATTTAACCTTGAAATATCATAAAATGATAGGATACTGCAAATTTGATATTATCAGTCGTGAATCATTTTTGCGTAGTGATTTAAATGTCCAATCATTGCTATCAGACACCCTTATTTGCTGGATAAGCTTCATGTGTGCCTACAATATTGTGGAATTGGTTTTTGCTTAACTTTTAACTTCTTGTGTTCTTATAATTTTATTTTTCACCTACAGTATTTTTCACTTAGCCGACTACTTCAGCCAATTGTCGTTATGATTTTCACATTCACTCGATTGCATAATTTCCCCCTATTCTAGCACCATGTTCACCTACGGCAGTGGCGACCATGGCAAGCAAGGGGAGACTCGAAAAATTGTGCGTAGTCATTTGAAAAGATTAACATATATCAGTGTATCCTAAGTTGCTTCACTTTTGCACCAGGTGGCAGGTCCGCACGCACAAAGCAATGGATGTGTCGTCTGCGGCCTAGACCAGAACGGAGACAGTATCTTACTTTGCGACGGGTGCGATGGTGAGTATCACACCTACTGTCTCGTTCCTCCCCTCACAGAAATTCCGGTTGGAGACTTTTACTGCAAGAAATGCACAGACTCTAATTTGGCCAAGCAACGAGAAGCCGAAGCTGAGAGCATTATCACCGCCCCGACAGCAGGTGCGACAACCTGTGAAACTAATATGACCGTCAATTCCCCAGCTGTATCCAGCACATCTTCTACATCAGTTAAAACAACTATATTCATGAGGGAGTCAAAGTACAGGGGCGTGTCAAAAGTATCGATGAAGGGCGTGAAGAAGCCATTTGTGGCCAAGCTCTGGCAGGGTTCTAAATATCTTCATTTAGGTACTTTCGGTAGTGAGATTGAAGCTGCTCATGCCTACGATAAGGCTGCGCTCATACATTATGGCAAGAGTGCACAGCTAAATTTTCCTCACTTACACGACAGCTTTGTTCGGCCAGAAGTAGCCTTTAGCACACGGCCTCAAACCTCAAATATTGGAACGGCTACAGCTTCTACGCTTTCTTCTGCATATTCTACTGAACAAATCTCATTTTCTGGTCGCGGGCGAGGTCGAGGTCGAGGTCGTGGTCGAGGTCGCGGACGTGGCAAACGTCCGCAAGACTCACCTGAAGCGCATGGAACGACTGCACTTACTGAGACCAAGCGGCGTAAAATCGATACATACGGAACACCAGCAGACACAACTGAGCCGAACACGGCAAATGCTCTGGCCAAAAAATATCTTGGCGTTCAGGTTCATCGTGTGTATGCACACGCGCAGATTCACGTCAATGGTGAGATAATTAACTTGGGCACATTTCCTACGGCAAAAGATGCGGCGCTAGCGTATGACAAGGCGGCGCTGAAATACTTTGGAGGATCTAATGACGATCGTCAGGAGATAGTTCTGAACTTTCCGCAAGAGCGAGAGAAATTGCTGAGAGAGTTAACTGAAGAGGAAAAGCATAATATACCGTCGAGTACAGGAGGATCAAGTCATGCCAGCCGTAGCGCTCAAAGTGCCAAGTACCACTTGTCGATACAGAAACTGAATTTGTGGATGTCAAAATTACAGAGATCGGTGAAAATGGTGGAAGCTTCACAAAGAGTGCAATGGAGTATACATCCTTCGTTTGTAGATGAAGAGCGAGAGAGAGGCAAAGAAGAAATTGCCGTGAGCGTACCGTCCTTAGTGAGATCTGAATTTTTCGGACTTGGACCCACTATCAAGACCGAGTTTACGACAAGGGATCAGAAAATGAGGCAGAGCAAGAATAATATTCAAGAATCGATTGCATTGATGACTGAAGAGCTTAAAATTTATGCAGCTGATGCCCCGATTGACCCGCACTTCCAGCCACCACCTCGTAGTGCCCCAATCCTCGAACTAATGTCCACTTCTCGGCACCTGAAGCTGGTAAGTGCGATCAGCGACCTTGCTCACTTCGATGTCAAGGTCGTTGAAAAAGTCCCTTATTCTGCGGCTGACGGAAGCTTCGAGAGAAAATTACAAGCGGTTGTCGATTATCGTGCTCGTCTAAAAATGTCAAGTGAAAACGAAAAGCAAAAGTTGGCTGCATTCATGCGTGACTTGAAGACTTCGGCGTCATCTACTTTGATAGATGATGCAAATAAGACATCAATAACAACAAAAGATGGTCATAAAAAAACTGATTTTTTGAAGAAAGCGAAGTACTTGAAACGCAAAGTTTTGATCTTGAAGTCAGAGAAGTGCAACATAGCTGATGCTCAACCTGATCCAAAATGCGAAAATGATCCGAACGAAAAAGTGATGGATTCTCTCACCACTTTAGTCGACGATGGTAGTGCATATCTGGCTGACGTTGTGACGGGTCGAAGCGTTTCAGAATCGCAAAATCTTCTGGACGAGTCTACCGTTGAGAATATTGCCACTGATGAGACTGATAGTGTTACTCTCGATGTATGTGAAGAGGATAAAAACGCTACATTGTCAATGGATGAAAAGAACACAATTCTTGAAGCGAGGGGCAAGGGTGATGCCGCACCTTTGGAGATCTTTAAAAAGGAAGTAATAGAGGTTGATGCTTCCGAAGCAGTAGAAGACGGAATTTCTTCAACAAAAGAAATTGCAGAGGATTCAATGTTGACCGCGGATATTCCTGCTGAGATAAACGGGTTAGAAAGTCCGGAGGTTGATATGCTTGAGGTGGACAAGGCCAAAACCAAAACAGAGGCTTTGAAAAACAAAGCTGAATTAGTCCAAGCTATAACTGTAGAGGCTGGAAGTGACAAGGCAGAGAACGTCGATGTCGTCAACTCTACCAGCACTACAACGACTGACGATGTCGACGGAGGGAATGCAAATCAAAGCAATGATATCAGCAGGATAGGGTGTGGCAAGACTGCAACGCCTACATGCGAAATATTTGGTCTTGAGGATGAGTTTGAGTGGCAGTACTTCTTGGCAATCCAGGAACCTTCACTTAAAAAGGATCTTTCAGCACCCGGAAGTTTGTGGCGATTACTTCCATTATCAAATACACACAAGATGAGTAATTTTGACGAAGAAATTTATCTAAGTGAGCCTGAAGTGCTAGAATTGGAGGTTTCAGAGGAAGAGGTTTGCTTTGCTTACAAGACTAAAGAAGGGGAAAGTGCGTGGATAAGAAACTTGCAGCAATTGCATGCAGAAGAAAGTCATGTCCGACAGCAACTTCAGCGAGAGACTAACCATCAGCATACGTTGCAAGAAGTGATGAAGATTGAGCAAGATCGGCTCAGTAAGATGTCAGTCATGTATAATGAGGCTATGAAAAAGCTTAATACGAACACAGCTCTGGCATTGAAGTATCACGCACGAGCAAGTCAAGATGCTCAATTAGTGAAGTTGATGCAGCACACGTTTAATCCAATTTTGGAGGATCTTCTGGATGATTGCGAAGAAGCACTATTGTGCTGCTTTCAAAAATTATCAAAGCGATTCGAAGACTTTTTGCAAGAGTTTGAGTATTACCGCAGCGCTCTGCTTAGCTTAATGAGTTCCTTAGAGCAGAATTCTGACAGTGAAACAATTTCTGCTGACCCTGTTGATGCCTCGAATATAGTTACGGACAACAGCGTTTTGATTAAACGGGAGAATCTTGAGAGTGTAGCAGGCGAAACTTCCGATAGAATTCTAACATCGATTTCTCCTGTCGTTGAGGAGCACGTCGAGGATAGCAAAGTCGTCAAGCTTGAGGCAAATGGCGAGTTTGACGATTTGGATGACAGCTTTGGATTGAAACAAGCTTATATTGACTTTTACGTGAGCGAAATGGAAGTTTTGTGGCGAGAACGAAGCTCTTCGCTCGAAATGGTGCAAGCGATCCAACGTTCTCTACTGCATTCCTCGGGTAATGTGGAAATAAGTGTCGAAAAATCAGCGGAAACTAAATCGTCTGAGGATGTTATGGTGAAGGAAGAGGAAATTGATGACGTTGTTGAAGCGATCGCACCTTTCAAACCTGAAGTGCAAATCGCCGAAAAAATACCTGATCCCGAGTCAGAGTTGATAGATAAGACGACTGAAGCTGGGAATGCGGCTGTAAATATTATAGAAGAGGAGGCAAGAGAGAGTGTCGAAACATCGGAAATGAATCCAGGCGAAAATGTGCTGCTGAAACCCGAACTCTCTCAAATTAACAGCGAGGTTAGCGAGGTTAGTATTAAATTGGAGCCAGTGCAACAGGAGATGCCTTGTAAATTTCGGCGGATGCAGGAGTTGCGTGAAGCTATCAATCTTTGTTTGGATCAATGGCAACGAATTGAATGGCCAAAAGAGCTTAATTCAACATTTCTTACCCCAACCAAGTTTGCTTCGTCCAATGCGTCTCCAGTACTGCAAAACTTGCGCATCAAATCGCATCTATCATATAAAACGGACGAAGAAGATACAAATTACGAGCCACAATACAGCGTGATGGACGAGTTAAAACGTGTAATGATCGACTTAACGCAAGATCAAATCAACCCTGTTCAAACGCCACACAAACCAACGACTGTAGTGATGTATCACCCTGTTTTTATCAATCACCAAACGCCAAAGAATCATCCAGAGTGCCCCGAGCGTATCGATGCAAGTGCATTTAGTGTCTTTTGTTTTACTTGCTAGCCGTATCTGACATCCTAATCTTTGTGATCATGTAGAGAGTTGTGAACATTCTCAACACGCTTGTTAGAGAGCACCAAGAAACGCTTACGCTGGATCGGCTTTCGATGTCTCCAGAAGAGTTGTGCCCACCAGAAACCACGCTTTTAATGGTTCACTCGCCGACGTATTTGTGTCAACTAAAAGAGCGATCGATTGAAGCTGGTTCACAATCTGCGTCGTCACCTACGGCTTCATCTCCATCATCTCGCGCCCTTGTGTTCGAGTCTGATATTGGTATTCGCGACGAAACTATAAGTCGCGAAAGCCATAAAAAGAGCGGACGCTTACCGCTTGTTGGTGCTTTCGGCGCTGCTAGTCTTGAGCAAAATGGAGTGGAGTCAGACACTTTTGTAAGCAGTAAGTCGTGGGACGTCGCTCGTGCTGCTGCGGGAACAGTATGTCTTGCGGTTGACCGTATTGTACGCAAGGAGTATCGCAATGCCGTGTGTTTGGTGCGACCCCCAGGACACCATGTTGGCCGCCATGGCCGGACACAAAATGCACCTTCGTCAGGGTTTTGTTTGCTTAATAACGTGGTAATAGGTGCAACACATGCTCGACTGTACCCGTGGATTCGCAAGATTGCTATACTTGATTGGGATATTCATCATGGAAATGGCACCGAAGAGTTGCTCAAGGATGATCCAGATGCTTTTTTTGCATCAATTCATCTTTACTCGTCAGGAAAATACTTTCCCGGAACAGGAAAATCATGTGAAACAGGCAACCGGATTAATGTAGCGCTCGAAAACACGGGTGCTGGTAGTGGCTCACAGGCATTTAGGGCTGCACTCGAGTTAAAGTTGCTTCCGGCTATACGTGCGTTTCAACCAGATATTATCTTTATCTCGGCTGGGTTTGACGGCCATCGCGACGACATCATAGGTGGTGTAGCAGCAGTAAACAATCCCAACGTACCTGCTGGATACGTAGAGGAAGACTTTGCTTGGGCCACGATTGAGGTGCTTAAATTGGCGGCAGACGTGTGTGACGGCCGAGTCGTCTCAGTGTTAGAAGGTGGCTACGATGTGCGCCGCGAGACTAACTCGCTGGCTAAGTCCGTGGCAGCGCATGTGGCAGCAATTTCGGCCTACGAGGCGGCTCGTCGTCTGTCGAGTGCTGCCGATGTAGAGATGAAAGATAACAACACTTCCGATTCTGACGTGAGCTCGTCTAATCATACTGAAACTAGCGTTAAGCTGGAGCGTGCGATTAAAAAAGAGCCTGTGAGTTTGTTGGAAAAACTGTTGCTGGCGGACCTTGATGACGCCAATGTCATCGTGATTGACAATGAGGACGAGGAAGAAAATAATCAAGAAGATTGCGACCTCCACTACAATAACGGTGGCGTGAACAGTCAAGACAGCAACATTATTAATGTAGAAACTGGCGAAGTGGAGGACGATGGTGACGTCGAGATGAGTGATGCTGAAAGCAAAGATCTGCAACAGAGCGAGCGAAGAATGTCATAAAGTTCCTATCGCATCGGCTTTTCTGTTAGGGATATAAATTTATTGATCTCTTGTTAGAGCACGTACGCGTGTTACCAATTTGAGCGACAAAGCTAAAGCTTAGACAAAATCAAAATTGTGGGTGTCGCCTTGTGCCTAGTTATTACAGGTAATAAATGGCAGTATGTGCAAACAGCTATATAATGTATTCTAGATGTATGCAGGACAAAGTTGATCAAAAGAATTGAATACTCGGGTAGGTTGTGTTTCAATCAAGAAGAGCTTATTGGTGCTTATCGTCTCGAGAAATTTGACCCAATTCTTACAAACGTGACAACGTAAGTGCTTGAGAGAAGCAGCTTTTAACAATTAAATTGAAGTTTTACGCATGCGAATGTACGGTAAGTTTGTCGAGTCATCTACCTAGTCAAGTCTTCTCACTGCGGTGGGAAAGAATGCATTGTCATATGAATAACTGACCTACAAATTGCAAAGTACTTTTGGCAAAGGTCGACATTATGGAGCTGCGGTTCTTTTTCCAATGCATTACAGTCCGCGGCTCCAATATTTAAAGACGTGTTTTACATTACCTGCACAATAATCATGTATCGCAACCAGTTGGCTCAACACTATTTCTTTACATTTTACCGTAGTTGGGCATTATAAAGCAAAGTGTACGATTTTGACGTTCTTTAAGTCAAGAAAGACTCAAAGTTGAGTTTGAAGATGGAACATCAAATATTGATTACCGTCCCTCGAGTCGTAGATATCAACACAAAATATGCTTAAGGCTCGAAAGAGCGGCATGCTCTACTGGAATCATAAGTTCGATGTTTAAAGTTGAGGTTCAAAAGTAAAAAGTGAACAATCCTTGATGTGATTGACTAATCAAGTCTAATCGGAATCAAACGACCGAAGGCTGGAAAGTTTGCACCGTGCACTTGAATTTTTTTTGCCACTAAATCACGTGGTATGACAGTAGCCGCGGAAAGCTGCGTCTGATCATTGGTAAGTTGGTCTTTGTCGGCCAAACCCATTGCATCGTAGGCTTCAACGATAAACGCTGTACCATCATTACAACATAATCAAGAATTCACACTAGTTTTGTTTACATGTGTACGACATACCTGCACTTGGGTATAATGGTGTAGCATCAAAGGTTGTAAGCATTTCTTTTGGTCGTATCAGAGCTGATATGGTATGACGCAGTGAGATTCGACTCTTTCGTTCGATATTCTTAGCGATGAACGCGTTTGCAGCTACTTGCATCTCCTTGGTGCGCTGCATCTCATGAGGATCTGTAAGATTACTTCTCGCGCTCGATACTATCATCATTTACCTCAAGCTTTAAGGGCAAAACGACAATTTCTGTGGATTGAGACGTCAACAATCGAGCACTATATGGACGACACTGCACTTTGTTAAGTGTTTCCTCCACGATAAATTTTCGGCCCAAACGATCCACATAGATCCATCCACAGTGATCAAAGCGCGGGCACATTTTCAGCCGTATGATCCATGTGTGCAGCGCTGCTAAAGGTTGCAAAGCTGTAAGCTTGCGCTGAAAAAAGATAAGGTCACCCGTTTCGAGCGTCTCCATTATGGTGTCGTCAATAGAGCCAGAAACAAAGTCAAGTGAAGTGCTGCCAGGTGTTGCGCAATTTTGGTGGCTCATGCGCGTAAGTGTTGCGTTGCAGCTCCAGGCCCCTAGACTGGCCAGTGGGAGAAGTGTCAGCATCTTGGCAGCCATGATCAATTTTCACCAAAATTTACAAGACATCTTGTGTCTTACACTTCAATGGGAGATCATCATTTAGGGTATAGCAATTTTAGGATAAGCACACATCTAGCATGATTTTTTGGCAATAGGTCATTGTTTACATAGTTAGGGAGTTTGCATATCGTAAAGTCGCCTGGGTGCTGGCACGGTATCTTTACTTGTGCAATTTAATGGCTTGATGAGGCTACAGTGTTTTACATTCGCCCCATGAAAAATATAGGTGAAACATTGTGCAAACTTTTCGTAACCCAACGGATGTTCTATCGGAGTGCACAATGGTGAAGCGTCGGCTATGCTGCTGATTATTACTAATGACTACCTTGAGTAGCATCGAGATTACAGTTTATTCTGAAGCTTGCAAGAGGCGGAGACTCCCTCCCATCTTTTTGGCAGCAATTTGCTGCGGATTATATTACTAAAGAGTAAGGTTGAATGTTGAGGGTCCAGCATTTGAGTTTCGTGGTCGCTGGTCAATGACTAACTGCTGCGCAATTTGTGTAGTAGCAGCTTTCGATGTTCAAACATGGCATTATATTTGGTAAGAGGATGTCTCGACTAGCTGTCGGGAACAGGGATGAATCTATCATTACCGATGTATCCAGGCGGTGTGTGGCAATAGCGCAAATTGTGATTTTTCAGACGAAGATGCGGTCAAAATATACAAGACGCCAACGATAATGAGCAGTCGCCAGATAACTCCAGTTGAATACATTCAAAAGGTTTATACATCTACAAGATAAGAAGTTATGCAGTAGTTAAGATAGCAGACGGCAGCCTTTGAGGTAGCCTAGGATCGAGAAAAAGGCTACATAATAATGCATTAGCTTTGCACTTTGTCACTCAATGCCCACATATTCTTAATTATAGGTAATGGACTTGAGCTTTGTCTTCTCCGACTTCAACACCGAATTCGTCTTCATCCCCAAACCGAATCAACAAATTCGCCGAAGCGAATATCTCCTTGAAGAAGTTGAAGATGCAGATGGCTTGCGTAGCTAGTGGTACGCATGTGCTCTGTTGCAGCTAAAAAGACATATCAGAAAGGGATCAAGTGAAAAATTCTTCTTTGTCGTCGCATTTCTACGTCAAAGAGGAAAAAATACCACGTTTGTTTGAGCACAGAAGGTTGTCGCTGCTGTTTGTAGAGCAACTAGTGTGGGTAAAACGCCATGCGTGTATACAGCAACACGTCATTAAGCTAGAGAGCAAGTGCCATTCGGACACCATTTGTGTTTTCCAGTATTATCTTGGCCGACAGTACTGAACTTGAGCGCTAGATAACGTCACCTGTTCGCTCACGCACATCGTCGCGTAGCTGGCGGGGAGAGGTACGTGTTCGTCGATCTGGTTCTACATCTGGTCTTTAAGGACCATGGGTGTGTATACGTAGCTATCATCAACATCGGATAGTAATATATTAGCATTTATCTGTTTCAGTCAGTCTGAAAGCCACCTTTGCCTGTTTCACTTTATTAATGGACTGTCATACTACGGCAAACTTGTTGGTTGAAGCTTGATCGCCCTGGAGGTGACCCGAACCAAAGACTTGGTTCG